TTATATATTGTATATATATAGATTTATGTTAAATATATATAGTATCTACATGAAGAACATGCCATTAATATGTGTAGTTGCTAGTCAATTTGTTAAATGAAATTTGGAATGATAAAAAAGTTATATTAGAATAGTTATTTAAATTAAATATTTTTAAAATATGTACTATTACTTATTCATATATATATACTGTATATATATTCTAAGTATATATATGTGCGTGTTACACATGGTTTTTGAATATAATATATATAGTATCTACATGAACAACATGCTATTAAAAGGTGTAGTTGCTAGTCAATTTGTTAGATGAAATTTAGAATAATAAAAAAGTTATATTATAGAATATTTATTTAAATTATAAATACTTTAAAAATATATATTTTAAAATAATGCAAATCTATGGTTGTCATTAAATACAAAGAAATGTTAAATATTAAAAAAAACGAGTCGAGCAATTTAAAAAGTAAAATTACAAAAGTTTAGAATAGATCGTAATGATCAACCCAAAAGAATTTGTCTTTTTCTTCTTCCTCTTTTAATCATCCTGAGAAATATCTGTAGATCCATAGATCGTAGAGAGAGAGAGAGAAAGAGAGTGAGAGAGAGAGAGAGAAAGGAGAGTAAAATGTTCTTTTTTCAACGTTACGCTGATGTTCGAACCTCAAAGAACGATGGCACTCTCGTACAACTTTAAAGGAAGATTTTATCGTTTTATCTACTGCCTCGTTAACTTCTATCGACATCCTCAAACCCTTCCTCAACATCCATCCCTTTTTCCTCATTCTCTACTTCACTCGTCCTTTCCGCTACTCGAAGTTTACCGTAAAGTAATTAAAATTGACGTCACATGTATTAACGAGAAATACACTCTTTTTTTTTTCTTTGACTATATTTTTCGAAAAATAAAACAATATCAATATATATATTAAATAATAAAATTATAATAAAATAAAATAATAATAAAAATAAAAATATATAATAATAAAATTATTATTATTGTTTTTATTTTTATTAAATATATTAAAATATATTAAATATTAAATATATAAAATAAAAATAATAAAATAATAAAATATAAATAAAGTATAATAGAAAAAACATATATATATATATATAAATATAATAAATGAATTTTTAAATAAATAAATAAATATATATATAGTAATAAAAAAGAATGGAAATTTCCTAAATTTCAAAATAAAAAGATTAAATAATATATTTCACGTATTTGAAAAGTATTATTTGTTAACATAAAAATTGATAAAAGATGAGAAATATAATTTTGTCATTTCTTTTTATGTACAAGTAGAAATATATTGTGGATTAGAAATAAAACATTTTAGCATCGATAAATGTGGATTTCTACGAGGTCTCTTAATCCACGAATAATCTTGGTTTCTGTAACAGTAATCGGATCATGCTCTCCATGGATTTACTCCGTGTGTTTCAGGCTCCGGCGGTCTGGTTGGATTTGTGGTTGGGCCTAGATTTGGCATTAAGAAGGATGGGTTGGGCTCTCACCGGTCTCGGTGTTGGACTAGTCATTGTCGTCGTCGTTGGTGCTGCTTTGGCTCTTTGCAGAAGGTAATGGTCGAAACGATTTCAAACTCCCTTTAATTTATCTATCTTACATCTAATCCTATCTGTATAGAAAGATAATTTTATTATATTTGTTAATATTCGCTAAATTAAACCAAATGGAAATTATTTTTTCTTATTTATATAATTTAATATATAAAATTAAATTGTGATATATATATTTAAATTATTTATATATATTATTTTATACAATTACAAAATTAATATATACTTTGTATACAATTTCTATATCTCTCAATTATTTATATATATATATTATTTTTGTCCCTCTTGTATTTCTGTGTATTAAAATAAACAAACATTTTACTATTTTACAAAAAAGAAATATATAAATAACGATTAGAAATTAAAACTATATCTATAATTATCCAACACACTTTATTTAATGAATAAAAAAAAACAAAACAAAAAAATGATCAACCCTTTAATATAACTTCATTGTATTTTGCAAACACCAAGACGTTTTTTTCAAGAAAAATGACCAATCTTCTTCTGTTTGTTTTTTGGTTTAATTTCATACAAAAATATTAATTATAAATTAAAATATAATATTGTTTTCTTCAATTTTGATAGTTTATTTTTATTAACTAGAATCAATAAGTATGTGTATTATCACTTGAAACGTAAGAGACAAATTGAACAACTAATAATACAATAATACACTCTTCGAAACTGGTAAGTGTTACACGTGCAACAGGTTAAGAGGTCACTCAGCGAGCAATTGTATCACCGACTTGGGGTATAGGTTTCTTTCCTGATAGTTCAACTTCCTTTTCATTTCTTCTAACAGACTAATATGAAAGATACACCATTTTTCGATAAAGAAAAATCATTCAAAGATAAGCAAAATTATCTACAAAACAAAACAAACGAGGAAATAAATATATAAATAAATAAATAAATAAATTTATATAACAATATTTTTCACGATAATAATTAATCTACATTTTCAAAGTCATTTTTACAACAATATTCTATCTTCTTACTGACCTCTTTGATAAGCTCATCTATATTCGCCTAATTATAGCATATTCTCGATGTCGTTAGCCTCTTTATTGGATAAACCTTTTACTAACTATATCACCACTAATAATCGTTAATAACCATCGACATGATTAATCGATAATTAATTAAACATATGATATTATATTTAATAAATAATTTCTATTATTTGTGTTTTCATATATTTAATCAGATATTGCATTGGTTGGCAATGGGGTACTAGAAATATTTGGAGTATATGTGAAGAATGGAGACAAAGATTATCATGGTTATGGGCACCACGAGAAGAAAAGGTATAATATTTGATTTAAAAATCATTCATGATTAGAATAAATGACAAAAATTATCCTAAATGTATATATTTTTAATAAAATTAATAAACGATTAAAATATCAATCGGAGAATTTACTTTTGATTAAACAAATTATATTTTATGTATCTAACAATAATGATTTGATTTTGATTTAATTTTTTTTGTTTTATCAACGACAGGTTGGTCTTGTAAAAGCTCAACATCCAACAGCACAAACTATACCAGGTTTATATCGACAAACTGGTAATCCTTCTGAACATTTGTTGCACAGTGATAGTGATTTAAGATTGGATGCTCAAGGAGCCTTCACACGGTAAATAAAAGATTCATTTTTATTTAAAATATTGTCGAAATATTATATTTTTTTTTTTCAAAACATTTTAATAATGTCAAACACACGTACACACACACACGTACAAACGAACACACGGAGAAAGATTTCCAATTAGAACATGAAGCCAAAAAGCTTCATAACCAAAAGGCATCGTTTTATTATCCACGCTATAAATTGCACTTTAATGACTCGACCTTCATACATGCACTCAAAATAATCTAATGAAGACATTAACTGGTTTGCTCAAAGGCACCCAAAAGACCTACTCTGATATTAAAGTTGATGCAACTTAAGTGCGACTAAAGCATACGAAATTGATAGCATTGATTTAACTACTTTCCTGATCTTGACCTCGTTTTAATTCATTTCTATTTAATATGTACAAAATAATTTTCATGGTTTATATTATAATTTTAAGTGACCTAAAAAAATCTCTACACTTTCAAGTGTTTTTAAATGGTCTATTTTATAATTTTTGATGACCGACCTAAAAATATCTATTTTAAATGATTTTAAAGTGTTTGAAATTGTAAAGCACATTCTATGATCGTAGATTCGAAGCTGTGGACAGAGATCTTCATCCACCACTTGGTACAGGAAGTAGTAGCACTATACCACCTCAGCCATTAAGGCCAGCACCACAACCAAGGCCAACATCACGTCCAAGACCATCTCCACTTCAACCTCCTAGCACTGTCGATTATTTTCGTATGCAGGAGTCTGAACCTGGTCCTTTGACACCACCACCGCCCTTACAAAGAACAATTTCATCTAGAGGAACTGCAGCCTCCTCGGTTTTCGTCTTCCAAAACGAACCGGTCAAGAATTATGGTATTTTCAAAGCACCTAACGATCACTCGGCCTTCAGATTCGATGGGGAAAGTGGTAATATGGGAAAGATATTGCAAGAAAATATTCAAATGACACCTTATACCATGCAAAATCATTCAGATTCGAGAATTATCGGCAGATACGATATTAACGATGAAAGAAGAAAAGAAACTTACGATCCAAGGTGTAATCCTTATAGACAATTTGACACAAATAATAGATACAACGTTCATAATGCACCTATAACAGCACTCGACGTTAAGCCTAACAACGATGATAAAACGTATGCCGGTTATGACGTCGTACAAAGAAATCATCAATTGAGACAGCACGTTAGAAATGATTCCAGAGGATCGGCTAATAGTTTTGGTTTGACGAATCATACCAATTCAACTAGCCAAACTATCATGGAATCTATTTATGGTCCTCAAACATTATGCAAGATGCTTCAAAATGCTCAAAATTTGGAGAACGAATTGGATCGTAGAAACAACGAGGTTCAAAGTATTGAAATGACACCTTTTAGAAGTTCGACCATTCAAGATGACGTTGGCACGTCTTATCTCTACCACGATAATTCTTCCACCAATACTGGTCTACAAAGAGTTTCTCAATACATTCAAAGTTTACCTGATCATCCTGCATTCGATACGATCAATGATCACACATCGATCACCCATCAAGATCGGGAAGAAATACTTTATGCCGAATCTATGCAAGCTCAAATTAATTCCTCTAAAGTTAACAACAGCGAATCTGCATCTAGTCCTATACCACCACCACCTGCACCACCTGATCCTCCTACCGACGTTCTCAAAAAGAACGGACCTACTACAGGTGAAAGGATTTTCAAAGCACTTCGATCGGTTACATCGCAAAGTTACATCGATGCCTCGGAATTTTACAAGTAAGATTTTTATCCTATTTTATTATAACACTTGGACTCGCATTAAAAGTATTGTCAAGTATTATTATAATTATCTTGAAAAAAAAAAAGAAAACAAACAAAAAACAAATGAATTTGCAGTTCCATTTTAACGTCAGCTCAACAAGTTCAGCGATTTACCTTCTCGAGATCGCCAAGTATGGTGAACGAGAATACAGGAAGTCGTTTACAGAACGAGGTACGTGACATATACACTGAAACCGATTCGGACGCCATTGGCCTTGATGCTTCCAGACGTAGTTCCGATCTTTACAGCCCCGAGCTAAACTTGGAAGCTCATAGAACTGCTCAGGAAGTAAATCATTTCTTCTTCTTCTTCTCCTACTTCTTCTTCTTCTTCTTTTTCTACTATAACTACTTTTTCTATTTCTATTTCTCAATTGAGAGAAAATTTATCGAAATTTTTGTCCTTTTCAGGTATATTACAGCTTACAGGATCCACCATCTTCGCCTTTATTGTTGAAGGATCATAATCATGAATCCTATACGTTCATGTCAGATCCAAGTTTTACTAGAACCTCTGAAGTAATTTTATTATCAAATTAATCCACGATATAATTGATAAATTAACCCTTAATGGTCGTTTGTCACTGCCGGTCGCACATCACATGGAAAGTGAATTTCTAACAAAAATGTTCTTTTTGTTTTTTTTTTTTTAATTAAAAGATTTTCTGATTAAACAATATTTTCCACATATTTACCGAAACTAGAGAGTTACAATTTATTGAGAATCACGTATAAAAAGTTTGCGACCAATAAGAGTTAATAATTGTGACAACACTAAAATAATTATACATATTTTGTTTACTTTTATCAGGATATCTTTAATAGTTTAGAACAAAGAAGGAAGAGTATGGAAAGATTAAATGGTATTCACGAGTTTGTTGAACCTGAAACTTGCGATACTCAAAGGTAAGTTCTTATCAAAGTCCTTGACACTTTTCGTACTAATTAATATCGAATTAAATATTAAATATTATTACGAATATAATGATCAATACAGACGAAGAAATAGTCAAGAACTTTATGCAGTTTTGGAGGACGTTCAAATGAAAAGAAGATTATCACAGGTAGTTGTTGCAATTTTGTTCGTTTTTTTTTTTTTTATCGATAAATGAGTCATTTATTTAAAAAATGACAATTAATAATATTAATATTTCATAATTCAGCAAAGTCTCGAAGAAAATTATATTACGAATTACACTATAAACGAACAAGAACGAGAATCGAATTCAGGAAGTCGTCGTGGTTCACAGGGACCTGAACCCGAACCTCCACCACCGGATGAATCGAATTTGAAAAGAGCAATAAGTTGTGAAAGTGTTTGTTCAGATACCAGTGTGGTATTGAACGATCTTGAGGAAGCACCTGTCGTAGGACACGTTTGCGTGGGCTTAGAACACGAAAGATGGGGTGGACGTGGTACCGATTCTGAAGGTGATTTAGCAGTTAGTGTACTTGAAGCCAGAGATCTCGTAGCACCTGATGGTCGACCAGCACAAGATACTTTCGCAAGGTTTGTTTAATTAATACAAAAATTAATACACACATAAATCTTTTTACATAATTGTTTTTTCTTTTCTTTTTTTAATAAATTACAGGGTATGTCTATTACCCGATAGACAAACGCACGTACAAACACGTTTATACAGAGGTTCACCATCGCCGAGTTATCAAGAAAAGTTTTTATTTCCATTGGACGGTGGTCCAGCAGGAAGAACACTCTTGGTCGAGGTAATAAGAAAATAATAAGAAAAATAAAAAAAATTTCATTTAGAACAAATCTAATATCGATGACAATTAATCAATCACAGGTGTTTTCTGACGAATCAAGTATCGGTGGTGGCGCTTCACTTATCGGCGAAGCTAGTTTAAGATTAGGCCCAGCGCCAAGACCACCTGCTACCACCTGGCTAATATTAACAGGACCTGCCTTACCTACGCCGCACTTGGGTGAGCTCATGTTCTCTCTGAGCTACTTGCCAACTGCGGAAAGGCTTACTTTGGTCGTAGTCAAAGCTAGAAATTTACGTGGTTCTAACACTATTCCTGGAGATTTCTTTGTCAAGGTAATACTAAATGTGTTAACAACAACAACAACAACAACAAAATAATATTTTTCTATTGTTTCGCAAAGGTGTACCTGTTGCAACAAGGAAAGAAAGTGCACAAGAAAAAGACGTCTGTGAAAAAGGGAGAAAAGAGTCCTATTTTCAACGAGGCAATAATATTTAGTGTACCAGCTCATGCACTACAGGTCTAGTAACAAAATAATATTAATAATCATTTACAAAATGAAAAATAATTTACTTAACATTCTGTTTGATGCAATAAAGGATACAATTAAAAATGATAATAATAATAATAATAATTATTATTTTGTTTCTTTTCTTTTCTTTTCTTTTGGTTATTGCAGACAATTCAATTGAGACTGACAGTAGTAGAGGTGCACAACGAACAATCTACAACCACTACTAGAACTAGTTCGGTAGGCCACGTTTTTGTTGGTTCCACATCAGCTGGCAGAGCATTAGGACATTGGAGACAGATGTTAACAGCACTGAGACGTCCCGTTGCTATGTGGCATCCATTGAGAAAATGAGATCAACTGGACATTGGGAGAGAGGAGAAGGTGAAGGAGGAGGAAGAGGAAGAGGAAGAGGAGGAAAATATACGATGGATATAAAGAAAAATAAATTTAAAGCAACATGAAGGAAAGAGAGAGAAATCTAACGCTAACAGGCAAGAGCATGATGTGAACAAATTAAATTAGACTTTCTATTCATTTAGATTTATTACATTAAATGTTTTTTATGCTACATATGTACATCGTATGTACGTTGATAAACCAAACCAAACAAAACAAAACAAAACCAAAAGAATGATTAAATAATTTGTTTAACGTAGGATTCAAGACCATCGATATTTCCCCCGTGACTTCTACCATTTAATTGATCAAAATACGACTGATTGTGTGACGAAGTGTCGCGAATATATGCTAGAAGAACATAAAACGAACATAAAAAAAAAAAAAAGAAGAAAAAACATTTTCATTTACTTGATAAATGGAATGAGCGAACAATCAATATATTATATTATATACATTGTTATTTTTCTTATAATTTCTATGGTTTTGTCCGTTATCAGGCACAAAAATCAACATAGATTTTAATTAAATTAAAACCAAAAAAGAGTAAATATATATATATAATATAATACATGTATATGTGTTGGTGTTATTTTGTAAAATTCGTTCATTCGTTCAATGATTATTTAAACTATCTAAATCATAACTATACTGATGTGAAAGAAACTATAATTATATACTTCAACCAGATAATATATATAAATTAACAAATGGCTAGTAGTTAAGGTATGAAATTGAAATTTGATTAAAAGATTGAAACCAATTGAACAACACGACTAACAGAATATTGGTTTTTAAAGTACAGAAAGAGATGAAAATAGATAACTACGAAAATTGTTTATAGAAAGACTTTAAAGATGAATCAAATACTAATTTAAGTGTCTAGTTATTTTGGATAAAATCTAGGATTCTCACGATTTAATTGAATTATACAATTTAATGCTGACACATATAAAAAGTACCATTTTTTTCAGTTACATTCAAAATTAAATTCACTCATACATAAACGTATAATATAGGGTATATGCCCTACCTTTAGAGATACACACACCATAAACACATATACATACATTCCTGAAAATACGAATTCTTTTCGTGTCTGTCTACTTTTATTTTTTTGTTTAATTTTTTATTCCTTTGTGTTTGTATCCTTGTCTATCATTAGCTAGTTTGAACAATAAATATTTGTTCGTTCATACGAATGACCTCGCGGATTAAACAATTCTCTAACTATGAATGAAAAAGGAACAAAAAACGAAATAATACAGAAAGAACGGTGAAGAACTCTTTGTTTTTTTTTCTTTTTTTTTTTTGAATAATCGACGAAAAGAATATGAGAAAATAATTTCGAATATTTTTCAAAAACAAAACGAAACGTAACGTTGCGTTGCGTTGTTGTGTCCACTATAACACGGACTGTTAATGTTTGTACAGAGTTTATCAATAACGTGCTCTTGATGTGCGAAAATAAAATAAAATAAAATAAAATAATTAAAATAAAGAAATGAAATGATAAGAAAATGAGAAAAATAAAAATAAAAGAATGATAAAGAAATCACATTAAATGAAAGAAACTATTTTCCCCCCTTGAAAGTCCTAAAAGTAAAAAGTAATGAAAATATTAGAAAATAAAATGAAAATAAAATAAAATAAAATAAAATAAAATATTATTCGACAATCGTGTTCGCTCCTTGGATCGTGCTCTTTCACAAACACATATATACATATACATCACGATGCTCTAACAATCAGTTACCTTAAAATCGATCTTATCCTATATCGAAGATTTAAACTCTATATATATATGTATACATACACATATATATCTGTTTCTGCACTTGGCGTCTATGACCAAATTATACCATCTCCTCTCTCTCTCTCTCTCTCTCTCTCTCTCTTTCTCTTTCTCTTTCTCATATTCTCTCTCTTTCTCTTCTTCTCATCCCACTCCTATTTCTATTACTCTTACTCTTTCTAACAAAATAATAAAAAATTCTCATTTTAACGATGATAACAAATCAATTCTTGATCACGAAAAAATCGTATCGATGAGTACAGATTTTATTTATGGTCAAATGATCAAAATGCGAATTTTTATTTTGTTTTTGCGAATCGAACGAAAAAAAAAAAAAAAGATGTAGGTAGCCTTCTTCTAAACACCTCACATAGTCATATTCTATTACCTATAAATTTTGTACCTCTTCATACATAATACACAAAAATGAAAAGTAACAACGGAGACGTGAAATATATATAATAAAAATTTCAAAATCTTCGTATATATATATATATATAAAAATCATGTGTATATGTGTATATATAAATATATATATATATACACATATAAAAATTATATAGATACATTATGAGAAAATTTTACACTCTATACTATACACTTTTTGTCATAAAAAAAAAAATCGAACTATTTGAAATTCATTCTTAAAATAATTAATAAAAAAAAAGAAATAATAAAAAAAAAATTACAAAATAAAAAAAAGATTAAAAATAAAGATATAACACTTATTCAGGTTTTTTCTATCGCCAACTACTATGGGACTAAATATCGCTGAATTCTCATTAAAAGCTCCATTATTGTAATTAAAATTGTAAAAGATAATCGACATCTTATTGCGAACGATAATTGTCTCTATCGATTATATTATGTATGTACGTATGTATGTATGTACGGATGTATGTATGTAAGTATGTATGTATGTATGAATGTAAGTACGTATGCATGTATGCATGTATGTATGTATGTATACAACGGCTAACCACGAGAACGATCGTTTTTGAAAATATGAACAAAAAGAAAATATTTAAAAAAATTAAACAATTAATAATTGAGATCACAAGAAAACAATAAAAATAAAATATTATAACGAAAGGGATCATAATTTTCGAATGAAAAGATAACAGCGAATATGTTTGAAATGTAATAATTATTAAAATATTTCAATTGTATGCAAGAATTATTTACTAACTTGAGATAAATGTCAAAATACGGAGACGTGCTGCTGAACAACAAACCTTTACGGCGGCTCGACTAGAAATGTCAAAATCAGCTGTGCGGCCCGACCCCCACCACCACATGACCCAACCCTACTCCGTGTCGGTTGCGCGCGCATCGACTCGGCACGTATCTTACTCTGCTGAAACTGAGAAAGTTATATTATTAATTAATTAATTAATAATTAAATGAGACTGAATGTTCTAATAACTTGTTACTTAATTAATACGGACTAATTAAACATATCTTTTGTTGTATTTAAAATATTTAACAAAAACAAATACATCGGCACTCATTATTATATTATTATTATTATTATTATTATTATCGTTAATTAAATAAAGTTGATTTTTATCATGATAATGTTCATTAATTGTATAAGTGTTTAAATAAATATAAATATAAATATATATATATATATATATATATATATA